TTTTTTTAAGAGTGATGCTACAGTTACAGGGGCCTAGTTCACAAGCCCCTGTCAGGAAAGACACAAGGTGGACTCCACAATAAATTTTCTTTTAAATACAGGTGGACCCCTCCACACAATGAGTTGCCTATAAAGCCCCTGTGAAAGAATGCCCTGTAAACAGGGCATTCTTCTTTTTTTAATTTTATTTTTTCACTCACCTGTAGACCTCCTTATGTTGAGTTTACTTTTTTCAGCTATAAAATGATCAACAATTTGCCAGAAAATAAAAATAGGGTTCTCCTTTTATAAATCAATCATTCAAGGGAAATTTATTACACAAAAAAAATATAACTAATCTATGAAAATATTTTTTGAAAACATAAAAAAAGAGGCCACATTTTCTTTGGCTAAGTAGGGCATCAATTGTGACCTTCCGTGCACATGAATTTCCTATTCTGAGGTAAATCTCTTTTCTGGTCACTGAACTTTAAGTGAAATTACAATCAGTGAAATTTCAATTTGATAACTAAACTTTAATTTATCTTATTCAAATCACTAAATTTTAATTTATTTCCAAATTCAGTTCTATATTGAATTCCATCGTCTATCATTTTCAATTGTCATATCATTGCCAAAGTGATAAAAGTTGTTTAGTTGGCGCCCGTAACATAACTTATTCTCCTAGTATGAAAACGGTATAACATGATTTATAGTCGTCTATCATTTTCAATTGTCATATCATTGTCAAAGTGATAAAAGTAGTTTAGTTGGGATCATAACATAACTTATTCTCCTAGCATGAAAACGGTATAATATGATTTATATCATTGTCTTTTTGATTAAAAGATTAAACACTTTTTTTTGTTAATATTTTTATAATGTGAAGTAGTGATAAGTTGACAATCTTATATATTAAGAGTCGTTATATTAATGTGAAATAGGGATAAACTAATCGTCTTATTGATTACGAGCCGTTAATGTAATGCGAAATAGTGATAAATTGACAGCCTTATTGATTATAAATCGTTAACTAAGCAACTTTTACGAATTTGAGAGACTTAGGTGTCTGAGTAGTGAAGTTTCAAACCAAATTAATGTCACATTTGCAATTAAATTAAAGTTTAGTGACCTAACTGAGATTTGGTGAGAGTTCAACGACTGTAGATGAAATTTACCTATTGGAACACAACACATTATCCCTTTGTGGATATAGAGAGAGTAATGCTAAAATCAATTTCCCTCTCTTCCGTCTTCACAGATAGCTGATAACGTACAGCAATGGCTTCATGTTTTGCATCCTCAAATTCCACACCCAGTTCCCACATTCTTCTCTCTTCTTGTACTTCCTCAGCGTCTTCTAATTTGAGCCCAATTCAATTGCAATTCCCATGTTTTCGATTTCAAAGTAAAATAAAAATTTGCGCCATTGCTCCTGCTACTAAGCGGAGGTTTCATACAAAAATAAGGTCTGTTGCAGAGGAAGAAGAAACCCTTGTTTCAGAAGCTGAAGCATCTCCACCACCAGCTGACGCCACTACTGAACAGACCGTTTCTGTTCCGGTCTCCCCTTCTGATGTCCTCACTATGTTCTTTCTGGTATTTCTATATACTCCCTCCTTCCAAACATACATAGCCTTGCTTTCCATTTCTATTTGTCCCAAATTATAGTCTAAAGCATAATTAATGTTTTAATTTTCTGATATATCATTATTTAAATTGCCTTATTATCAACGAACATCAACTATCATTATTCCACGTGGGGTATAATAGAAAAAAATGTAAGATATAATAATTAATTGTTCTTAATATGTGTGAAAATAGAAATAAATCGGAGGATGGGACGGAGGGGATAAAAAGGTGTTGAAGAGAAACTCTTCAAATGATTACGGGCTTGCGATTCAAGGGAGCATAAGTTTTTGCGAGTCCATATTTATTAAATTTGTGCTAAGGGAGTATTGAGTTTAAACCTCAAAGAACATTATTTTATGATCAATTAAAAACAATTTAATTGACTGGCATAGACACCAAAAACTACTTAATTTGATTACTCAAGCAAGCACCTTGGCCTAAGTAAAACTCCACTCACAGCACCTCAATTAATCCCAATATCTCCACTCTCTGTTGCACTCGTACACATTACCTAGAGCCATCTTGTATTTATAGATAACATTAGCGGTGGCAGCTTTCTCACAATTCCAATATGTCGGCAAGTGTTTTCTTCTACAATGTTCCTATATTGGCTGTAAAAAGAAGAAATAAAACCAGCAAGCTCTAGATAATTCCAATTATGGTGGTGCACTTAAATTCCAGCAAGTAACTAGGCTTTCCAGAATTTTCTGCATGCTTTGGTTAGCAATTTCTAGACATTTATAAGTTGGTGATGATTTCTTTAATTCTTTCCTTCATCACCGACTTTTCATTTTGACTCTTTTCTTTTTCGTCTCTCCCAAGTGTGTCGGAAACTTGACGAATCTTGAAGTGCTCTGATCATTCATTCAATACATCAGCTTCCTCAAATATATCTGGCCTTTCGTACTTTTCTCTTTTATTTCTAGGTTAGCATAATTAGTATTTGATTTCTCATATCTACTCGATTTCCTTATTTGTAATTGTGAATTTATACTTACATCAATCTCTTCTTTTAGACTATGGCGTTCCTCCTTTAGTGTTTTATGGTACGCTTCATTTTGTCCAAGACTATGTGTCACTCTTATAAACTCTTCTCTATCACTTGAAACTTGTAGATCTTTAAATTATTTTGAAATTTGTGTTACCTTTGGATCCTCTTGTTCATTGATTGACTCCATAGCATCCTTCATTTTCTTGAGCTTTACTTCTCTGATTTGCTATGACATCTTCTCCTTCAACTTGTCATTGAATCTAATAGCTCCATCCTTTGCAGTGTATGTCAAGAATATGCTTCTTCAATCACTTGTATTTCTTTTAAGTCTAGTAGTTCGTCCCTTTACGGAGAGCCCAAGAAAACTATTTATGAAACGCGATGTCCTCTCTTAGTCATCATTTCAATCATTTTCATAATCCATTCGTTCAGGGAGAACCACCACCGAAGCTGATTCATCCTTTAGACTTGAACTGAATTTCTTCTCTCGAGCCTTCTCAACTATTATTGTGGATGTCTCAACACCCCATTCTTCTTCACTATTGTAATTCTCTTGCTTGTTGAAAGTTGTTACATTACCTTCTACTGGCTCCATTTTAAACTAGCAGTATCTAGTACAATGACCTCGTTTTCCACATACAAAGCACAAGTCATTAGTTTCGTTGATATCCCTTGAACAAAGTGTCAGCCCTGAACCAAAGCCAAAGCCACTAATGCAATGGCCTAGGGCCTCCAACCGCAATGGCCTAGTTGGAGGCCTCAAATTTTTTTTTATCAGTTTAGTCTAATTATTTTTATATTTAAATCCTTTCCATTATTCCATTTGTACATGCTCTTCCTATGATGCTCGAATGCAGGTATGGGTATTGCATACAAGTACATATCTAGTAATCGAACCCTTTTTCATTTTAAAAATTAAGATATGGAACTCATGCTGTTTGGCTAGGGTTAAATCCAAGCCAAACAAGTTTTTCCTTATAATTAATAGTACTGAATTTGTATGTTTTAATTATTATAGAAAAAGTTGACATCAATAAAAATAAGAAATAAAATATATACTATGTTAAGGAACTCAAATATAAGTATTATACAATTGTTTTGAATAAAATCAGTTTAATTTTTTTTTTTTTTTTACTTGTACTCAAATTGATTGATATTGGTTGACTCGTAGTTTAGTTTGTTTATCAATTCTTTCGATAAAATCAATTTAAACAATTGGATTATAATTTGAAATCAATTTAAATTTACAGCTAAAGATAATTTCTTTTAAAAAAATTAAAGGAAAAAATCAGTTTCAATGTCTTATATATTATTTAGAAATAATTATGGAAATAAATTTAAATTTAATACCAAATAAAAGATATAGCACAAAATTATTTTAATTGCAAAATAAAAAGTTCACAGTGATAAAATTTAAGAAATAAGAAATTTAATACAAAAATAAATAAATAAAATAGATCTAACCATACAATTTATTCCAATTAAACAATTACAATTTATTAACTATATGCATTGGATTTAAAGAGCCCATTCCAAAATTTGGTCCGGTCCAATTTAATGAATTTGGGTAGTCATCACCTCGTATTGCCCAACCCTCGCCTTCTCCAACTCATTATCTTCTTTTTGTAGCGCTAGAAGTAGAAATCCTGAAGCAAGACTCGACCTTCTGCCTTCTTCTCCCTTTTGCTACCATGTTAGAGTGCAAAACCAAGGATCCAATTCATATCCCGTGTCAGTATCCATGTTATGTCGTGTTGACACGGATACTTCTTCATTTTTGAAGAGTTCGAGCTTCATAGCACTCTTCATTTAAATATAAGCATGCTATTTAATTAAATATTTAATGTCGCTACGCTTGTAAACAAATTATATATAAGGACCTCATAATAAATAAACACTTAAGGGTCTCAAAATTCTTAGGATCAGTCATGCTTGGAGGAATAACCTCTCTTGTTGCAAATTTGTTGGGCTTTCCTTGTCTGAGAACATTTTTCGCATTTATTTTCTTTAAATTCTTTATTATTTTGTTTACGGGATTGACTTCTTTTTTTTATATCTATATTATATTTCTTCTTCCTTCATTGAGACCTCTAACATTTATTTGATCAAAGCTTCTTCGCCAACCAGTAAAGTTTCGAGATTTACTAGTGAAGGTTGCTGAACAACCTTGTGTTACAGCAATGAAATTTCTAAATTCGGGTCTAAATCCATATATAATTATTATCCTCATTTAACTTTTGAAATTTTACTCATAGCGTTTAATTCAGAAGTTCCCCAACAAAGGGACTTTACTTTGTTAAAATAGTAACTCATTGTCATTTCCCCTTGAGCGATAGACAACAACTCATTTTCCAGAAGTTACAACCTCTAAGTCATTTTCTTTGAGAAGTGCAACCAAAGTGTCTCATACTTCCTTAGTGTATTTTTTGTCCCTTATATGTTCCAATAATACCTCTTCGATTGTTGTTTTTTTTTATGAACATAGCCTTACCTACTTTAATTTACCACTTCTTCAAAGCTCCAACTTCTTCGATGGTTTTACGTCACTTCCGCCAACTATATTCCATAAATCTTGCACTTGGAGGTACGACTACATGCAAGTTTGCCTTGTTGTGTAATTTTGATTATTGAGCTTTTTTACTCCACCTACCACTTGTAAGTCGCCTATCGTGATTTGAATAACATCCTCGTTATCAAGCAAGTTTTGTAGAAGCTTAACGATTTCACTTTGTGCACGAACTGTAGAAGCTCAAAAATCCATCCTCTACCGTCTTCATCTGATACCTAATTTGTTGAGTTTGAACCCCAAATAAAATTATTTTATTACTAAGAAAAAGCAAACTATACAATTTAATTGGATGACATAGCCCCCGTTTGGTATGGATTAAAATTCAGATTTTAAACTAAGTCAAAGTCAACAATTTATGTTAACCGCATATTTCATGGGTCCCACATTTTATCATCTTCTATCAAATTCTACTAAATATCTAATTTTTTCTCTCTGCCAAACAAGGGCATAGACACCAAAATACTACTTAATTTAATTACTCAAGCAGGCCCATTGGCCTAAGTAAAACTCCACCCCCAGCACCTCAATCTCGATATCTCCACTCACTAATGCACTCATACACATTACATACAGACGTCTTATATTTATGGATAACATTGGCAATGGAAGCTTCCTCACATTTCCAATATGTCGGTGACTGTTTTCTTCTACAATGTTCCTATATTGACGGTGGAAAGAAGAAATAAAATCAGCGAGCTCTAGATAATTCCAGTTATGATGGTGCACTTAAATTCCAGCAACTAGAGTTTCCAGAATTTTCTGCATGCTCAAGTCTAGCAAATTCTAGACGTTTAAAAGTTGGTGATGATTTCTTCAGGGAGTACGGAGGTATCGTGTAAGTAATTAAAGTTTGAGCATTTTAAAAAGTTTTTAGACTAGTTGAGGTTGAGTCTTGCCCTATAAATTTATGAAAACTGTGCACGTGTTAGTTCTTAGATAGAAAATGAATGTGGATGAATGAGGAGGGTACTTGTTACGAAACATTATGATAATTTCTTGCATAATTCATCATTTGTTTCACTACCATGGAACAATAACTAATGATTAGTGTGGCATAATTCCTGTTATCTAGTAACTGCTAATTAATAGTTGCTTGACTCTAATTTTATGCCTTTTTGAAATATCTAGGCAGAAGGATCAATGACTGATGCTGCTATTCCCACAGTAACCAAAGCTTTGGAGGTATTCATTTATATCATAGCTTTTCTAAATTTGCGATGTACAGTGACATTTGTTCTCGTAACATTTGAAATGTTCGAAACTAAACCATCCGGTTTCAAGGTTAAGTCGAACTGTCAATTTTTCTTAGGTTTATTGTTTTTCTTATGGGATCTATATGGATGCACAATGATCCCTGGATCAGAAACATACCTCGTAAATTTTCTGTAGCATTGAACTTTTTACTAGTGGGCTCCGTGTTGTATTTTCTTTTCACGAGTTCATTTCCCTTTTGCATTTTGACTTATGTTTCTCAAGTAAATGTATGCAGGCTATTTCCATCGTTTCATGTCCAACTCTTTCTTCATGCCACTTAAACCCTGTATAGCCATGGCAGCTCTAGAAAATCTGATTCTAGGAGTCAATATAAATATGTCATGGTTATTGTGAAAATATTAGAAACTAAAACTTTCCAAGGAACTGGAATGAGTCTTACAAATTGCAAATGCTGGTAGATACTGAAATCATTAGAATTCCCAAGCAGTGGAAACCACCTCTAGTCCGTGTAAGTTTGAAATAGCTACACAAGGAAGTGACCACTTCTAAATTATATGACATGTTTGGCTAAGCTTCAAAGAAGAATTAATGCATATTCAACAGCAAGTCAAAAACTGTAAGATTTTATGTTGAAAATTCAAAAAAGAAAATGCAGCTTGTAAAAAGCCTCAAACATGATTTGCAAAAAAAAAAGAAGTAACTTTTAAGTAACTTTTAAGCTTAACTAAATATGCTCCAAGCTCAACAGAGTCACCTGAGTAGATCTTCAATCCAAGATCACTGGCAGGGTGACTTTACCATTCTTATATTCCTGTGGCTGAGAACATTCTATTATATTAAAATTTGATGGCTACTTTTAATATATTTCTTCAAAATTAGGCACTACTCAATCTTCGAGTTATAGAGGAGAGTCTATGAGTTCATGCATAGTCATTCCTTCTGATGTATCTATTGGCATGTATGTAGGACATAGAAGGCGTTACAAATCTCGAAGTAGGAGTTCTTGAAGGCATTGCCAGTGTGAAGGTGAGCTTTACTACTTGTTTCCGGTTACATAAAATTAACAATTTTCTCGTTAAGAAGCGGAGAAATTATGTGGAAACTGATGCAGAGAAAATATTTATGTTTTTTCCCCATTTACTTTCTTAAATGAGGTTTTCAATTTCAAACCCAAGAAAGTACTAATTGACATGAAAGGTCATTCATTTGTGAATCCAACTATAGTAATTTTGTCTAGATGCTTCTTCAGTTGAAATGCATCGTTCTCACACTTGAAGAATATGGTTGTAATTTGGTTAACATCTAAGGAGCATGTTTGGCTGAGTTTAAAGAGTTTACTTAAAAGTATACAAGTCAGTCTTAAAATAAATAAGGTAAGAGTTTCTTCTGAAATGAGCAATATTATTACTTTAAAGTATGAAAAAAAATTAACTTGTGCAAAAATGTTTAGAAAAAAAGATTAAAGCTTATCCAAGCATGCTTCTAGAGAATTATGAATGTGATTTGTTCTTGCTTTCCTGTTTCAAGCTTCTGGTATCAAAGAGGCACAGTAACAGCGGGGAATAAGAACTAGAGTGTGAAGATTATTTAAGAAAATAGAACATTATCTAAATTTTTTTCGATTCATGACCAATGTCACTATAGTAACTTGATGATCTCTTTCGATATTGTGTAGTTAACAAAGCAAACAACGGTACAAGCTACAGGGGTGGCTTCAAGTTTGGTTGAGATAATACAAGGGTCGGGCTTCAAGTTACAAACATTGAATTTGAGCTTCCAAGACGAAGAAGATTTCAGTTAGATATTTGACTGCTCGACAATCTGTGGTTTACAATGTGTCTATTTAACTCTTTAATCAAATTTTGAATTTAAAAAAAGAAAAAAGTAGACGGAGCGATTATGGAGACCATCTTTCCATAATTAGTGTGTATATGTAATTTCATTTTCAATTTATAGTGTAATTATACTTAAAAACTCAAGTCACCATATTTGACTTCATCTCTATGGTATAGGTCTCGTAACAACTATTTTTTCATTCTCATTCTTATAAGAATGTGAATCAAACGGGGGCAATATCTGTTTTAGAATATAATGATATCTAGTTGCATAAATAAATATAATTCATTTTAAAATATTAATGTTAATTGTTTGAGTAAATATTTAAGTGACATGATCACTTTGAGATAATATCCGATGAATATTTTGCGTTGAAAAGCATAATATAACACAATCTATTTTTTTTTAAAAGAATAAATATTGACTACGGTCGATAATGAGGGTTGTCAGCTTGTTTGGAGAAATCGTAGTTAGCTATTTTACTATTTAGGTTAAGCAATTTGTCTTAATTGTGAAATAGCATTATATGAATGGTAATATAAGTACAAATGTGTATTGGATTGAATCATGTTTTGAATTGAATTCTATAGAATCACTATGCTAAGTATAAATTTTCATGTGACTTTGGGGTGCTTTACTTAATGCTTAATATAATTATGAGTTCAATTTATGAGCTGAACATTTATTTGAAATACTAACGAGTGAAGTAGAATACAATTTTAATTTTTTTCCCTCCCCCCCTTGTTGTTAGAAAATGGTCACTCTTAGGAACTGTTAGATAATGATTATGAAAATTGATTTTTTGGTCCCTGGAGAGAAAAGTGAGTTCTACCTGTGAGTGAAGAAATAAAAAATAACGACTGACATAATAAAATAACTGTTAAAAAATCAATTTTTGGAATGAAATTTGTTACCAAATAGGAGCTTGATTAGAGCAAGAGAGTCTCATTTGAACGTTTTAAATCTGTCATTAGTATTTTTATGTTACTGAAACTTAAGTATGTGATGAGAGCACAAAAAATTCTTTAAAAATTAATAAACGAAAAATAATTAGAACGATAAAACGGTTATTTTAACCTAGTTCTATTCATCGAATCTCGAAGAGGGGAATATAATTATAAACTTAGCCCATATTTAGTGGAAATTAAAATTAAAATTTTAATTCAAGTTGGAGTTAAATTATTTTTGGAATTTAAAATTGCTCAATTATATATTTTATTAATTTTTATTAAAATTTATTAAAAAATTGATTTAAATCTTATGTAACCGGCTTTGTATGACTTCAATAATTTTATAATATTTGTAAATCTTGGCACATGACAGTGACAGCTCTGAACTTCATTTCTTTTAAAAATAGTGTTCCAAAAGAAAGCATTTTTTTGGTAGATGATTCCGCGAAGTCTGCAGCTTGACTTTGAGTTGACAATAAAAGAGGGTGTTTGGTAGGAATTTTTATGTGAAAATGAATTTTTGAATAGTAAATTGATGGGAAATGTGTGGTTAAAAAATAAGAAAAAGTTTTTGATTTACGTGTAATATTATTTTAATAAAGAATGTGTGGTTGAAAAGAAGAGAGAGAAAAATGCATTTTGATAAAAATGGGTGCCAAACAGGGCCTAAATTAACATATGTTCTCACTTGCAATTCTAAAGAGGAATCAAGATCAAGATGAACCAGCTTTGCTTGTGAGTAAAATTCTTTCAATTTAACAATCTTCAATTATTATTCATAACAAAATTTTCTGCATTTTTCCAGTTTCAGCAGTGGACTAGAACTCGCAAATCTTATAGTAACCTCAGATCTTCTCCAGCGTTCTTGGAAGGAAATTTCGGAGATTCATAAACAGAATCATATTCATATCAATGATTTAACTTCGCCTTCTGTTTCGTATAAAGTGTACGAAAATCGTCCAAATGGTACTATAATTGCTTTTGCATCTTCGAACCAAGATACTGTGAATAGGGATTTGGTTTCATCGGGAGAACTGAAAGGGGTTTTTGATTTCTTTGACTTTGTTGGAACAAATGTCAACCGATCGTTTTCTGTTCATAAAGAAGCAGTAACTGTGTTTTCGTCAATGTTAAATGAGTTAACTCTTCTGAAAGCCCAGGTAAGGCGCAAGAAATGTTTTTCTGTCAATTCAGTTTGTTGATTTTGAGGCTTTTTTTATGAATGGCTTCTATAAAATGTGTTAAATGTTATACATTATTATCAATTACACTTTTAAGGATTATTAATGGTTTATAGACCAGTGTGTAAACGAGGGCTCTGCCATTGATGTGCAGTTTGAGTAGAAAAGTAGTGACTGAAGTTGAATCCACAATCATTTCTCTTTTGTCTTGTTGGTTGAGATCAATTTTATGGTCAACCATGCTACATGTATTTCATGGATTACACTCTTCCACGTGGCTAAATCTATACTGTTGATTTTGACCATAACCATCACGTCTCCGTTCAAATTTCTTCCCCCTAGGGGACAATTAACCTACTTGTATGTACACTTACAGCCCCCTCACTGTAGAGGGGGCCCACGCCCATTTTTTTAATTGGCAGCCCCCCCAATGTGAGGGGGCTGTACACCGTAGTAGGGCTGCGTAGGGGATGTCAAAGAAGTTGTCAACCAAACTGTACATCTAGCATTATTCTTTTAGAGTATTGGATGCCGGAATTGTCTAGTCATTTCGTGTACTTCCTACCACGTCCTATTTGTGTTGTTGATTTCCAGTTTACAGTCTATAGTGTGCATGAAGGTGGTCGTTTTGTACCCAAGTACAACTCCAAAAAGTTCTTGTTTAGGTTTACTTTTCTCGAATGCTGCTATCTCATTAATCTGCAACGCCGCCGAGTCTTAGGAGTAATGCTGGTTGCATCCTGTCGTTGGTCCTCCAACCCTCGAGTCAGGGAATGAAGTCGGAAGCGTATATTGAGAAAAGATTTGGGTTGCAGATCAAAGTGATTGCAGTGTTCGAAGGGAGGAAGTCTAGAAAGAGTTATTTCAAGTATTGACAATTTCATTTGTATACCATAACATGCACTAGTTTGTAGTTTGAACGTGGGCTATTTACTATTTAGAAATGTCCACTGGTCTTGACTCTTACACAACATAAGGAATAGGAAGAGAATGCAGCTTAAGGTGCATCAACGGAGGAGTTCGAGCTTGTTTTAATTGATTGATATTGAGCTAAGCTTGGAGCTGGGGAGCATGAGGGGCCCCCACTGCAAGTGGCTCCACACGGCCTGAACGTCCATTGTGGGTAAAGATATAGATAAGCATTATGATGCGGGGGCTTGATTCGATTTTGGATATTGTTTTATGTATAAACTAGTTCTTGTCAGGATTAAATTGGAGTTCCTTCATATTGGGACGAGGCAAATGCTTACATTTATTCTTGTTTATGTTCTTCAATGCAGTATGGCAATTCCAATCCGCTAATAATCACTGGACATGCTCTGGGGGGATCGATCGCATCTCTCTTCACCTTATGGCTGCTTGATAGCATGTCACCATATGCCAAACGCCCTCTTTGCATCACTTTCGGGTCACCCCTTCTTGGTGACAAAAGTTTCCAGCAAGCCATATCAGAACGCCCATCATGGAATTCGAGTTTTTTGCATGTGGTCTCAAATCAAGACTTGTTTCCACAGCTTTTTATTGCACCCTGTAATGGTGTTGCTGATGGTTTTACTTCCCAAACTCATCTGTACAAGCCCTTTGGTACATTTCTCTTGTGTACAGAATCAGGATGTGCTTGTTTTGAGGAACCTGAATCGACTTTGGAATTATTAAAGGCAATGGGATCAAAATTTGTTGGAAACCAAAATTCACAAAACAGCCTTCGTTTTACAGATTATAGGGAGATTTTAGAAAACCTCAAGCATAGATCAATCTACAAGGGGATTTCACAACTGGATGTCTCAATTATGGATCCCTTACTAGCAGGAATCACCATGGAGCTAACGACAATTGGAGTTGAAACACAGGTAAATCAGCCTAAATTAATCGATTAATCATTTTACTGCATTTTTTATTGCCTAGGAGCATGAGAAACAAGTTTGCCCTCATAACACAATATGGACTGCTAAGCCAATTGCATGTTTGATATGTAGTATTAGGCTGCACTGGATAATATAACGTACAAAATTTTAAGTTTTGGACTTTTTTGCTTCTTTAATATTTGTCCAATACGATCCATATTTCCTTGCCAAACATGGCATAAAGGATTTTTATGTGAAGTTAATGGACACAAGCTATTACAAATAACATAACCTAGATCAAAGATTTCTAGAACTTTGTATATGTACGTGACTATTATCTATCATTATTTCCCTGATCTAGCTTTTTCATGTAATTGCAAACAAAGGGGGACGGTGGCTCTCTTACAACTCATACTGCTGAGAGGGCAAAGAAGTCCTTCATACGCAAGAAGAATGTGTTTGATCCCAACAAGAAGCTAAATGATAGGAAAGTCGACATGGCATATCTTGAATGGTATAAGAAGGTAGCAGAAGAAGAGGGCGGGTACTATGACAGTTACAAGTTTGGACAATCAGGAAGCAGAGATAAAATCAAAAGCAGAGAAGAAATCGTCAAGCGTCATAGAATTCTCACGCAATATTGGAAAAGAATGGTAGCTGAAGCAAAGAAAATGCCACAGAAAGAAGGAGCATCATTTCGTATTCGTTGGCTATATGGAGGAACTAATTATAGAAGAATGGTCGAACCACTTGACATAGCCGATTACTACAAGAAAGGCCACAGGGACTATATAACTCGAGGAAGACCCGAACATTATATACTTTTGGAGCAATGGTTAAACGAGGACATGTTGGGGAATGCGATTGAGAGGAATAGAGCTTGTAGTCTTACTGAGGATTCGTGCTTTTGGGCACATGTGGAGGAAGCTATTATCTTGTGTGACATACTGAAAGATGGCCAAAGCAGTCCAGAAGATCAAAGATCGTCAAAGGAAAAACTGATTAGATTTGAGGCTTTTGTGATGGATATGATAAAGAACTATGCAGTCTCTCGGGAGATCTTCTTGCCACAAAGTAGCTTTATGAAATGGTGGGAGATGTACTCTATATTTGCAAGACAATCAGTTGGTTCCCCATTGCTTGATTTCATGGAGGAGGATTATCGTAATTATGCTTAGATAGCCAATGTTAGCTACGGGCATCTCCAAATGAGACACCAAAATACTAAAATGTACCAAATTTTGGATCAAAATATCTCCAATGTAGCGCTAAACTTTGCACCATTCTGGTACCAAATGGTGCAAAGTCAATTTTACTATTTGCTTTCATTTGCCAAACAAATCGATTACGGATATTTGTCATTTATTTTATATGTTTTTTAATACAATAAATTATTATTATTGTTGTTGTTGTTGTTGTTGTTGTTGTTGTTGTTGTTATTATTATTATATGTATTTATGACAAATTTTAATAATGTAAAAAATAATAGTTAGTGAATGTAATATTTTCGTTAATGTAAAGTAATTATTTATTTAATAATTTATGTAGTTGTAAAATTAATGAAGAAATAATTTTTTAAATAAATAAAATGAAGAAAATGATTAAGCCCTATTCATTTGGTGTAATAATAGGAGATGATTTTTAATTTGGTATAACATTTGGTGTAAATGATTTAAAACTTACCTCGAATTTTGGTAGAGCATTGGAGATGGCCCAGTATTGTAACTTCGATTTATATCAGATGAATTAAATATTCATGTTTTACTGTTCTTGTAATGATCATGCGAAGTCACTTAATTGCTTATTAATTGTTAAGACTTATCTTCAAGAGCATCGTTACAAATCACGTGCAAACTCACGTGTTCGTAACTAGTGTCTTCAAAGTTCTACATTATCATATTTGTAATGTTTAATCAAACAAAACTATACTTAAGTAAATAAAAAATAAATATATATTTTACAAGGCCTCTTAGAAATGTCATGTTAATTTAGTTGCATATTAGTCTATGTAGCAATTGAGTATGTAAGGATCTACGTTTAATATATTATTTTATAAATTCATCTAGTTATTAGTTAAGAGCATTATCCCAAGTTGGGACTATAATAATTATTATTTAATTTAGGGTATCATTTATTTTTCATTAAATGTTTTGATTTTTAGTGTGTGAAATTTTTAGTTTTTACTTCTTTTCCTCAACTCTAACATCAAATCAGTAAAAATCATTTTACCAAACTATTGACATATATATAAATGGAGAAAATACTTCATTTGACTCTTCCAACAATGTAAAAAAATAAAATTTTTAATTGATAATTTTTTCAACCAAGAAAAACTAAAAACAATCAATTAAAATTTCTATATTATTTTATAGCTAAAAATCAACAACTTTCTTGGCATGATTTTGCGACTTAAAAATTGTCTAGAATGCATACATAAATTTATTGATATGCATTTTGTCTGGTTTATTTATTGTTTGGCAAGGAAGATTCTAGAAGAATATATGAATATAATTAATAAAAATATAAAATTGTGTAAAAAAATGAAAATGAAAAAAAAAATGTAAATAAGTGAAAAGAATCAACTCAGCCTTTGATAGGTGAGAATTAAAATCAGATTTTTAATAGATTTTGATAAAATTTGATGAAAAGTTGTGGATTTCATAAAACAAATGGTTAAAATTAATTATTGAAATTAACTTAAATTAAAATCTAAATTATAATCCTTATGAAACAAGAGCTCAATGTTAATTTTGGAGCAACAGGTGAATGAGAAAGTAAAATAAAATTGGATAAAAATGAAAAAAAGTAATTGAACTTTTGTAGTGCAAAAAGAGAGTTATGGTATATAAAGTGTTACATAATGTAGTACAAATGAAATTGAGACTTGCTGTCCAACTTGGAAAAAACTCCTTGTACACCATGATATACATGTGAGGGGTCCACATGAATAAAATAATTGTGGACTCCCTCATTGTGAAGTGGCTATGAGGGTGTATAGCTCTACGCAAGCAAAACCTGTCCAACTTTTGCCGTCTCATGTCATTTTATCTCATTTACTTCACTAGTAACACCTCACTTTCTTTGTAATTTCAAAATAATGCAACGTCAACCCACAACTAAATTACAACAAACACCCTTTTACTTTTCATTTTTTTTTGGGAAATGTAATGTCTTTTTATTTAATTATTCTTCTAAACTCAATTCTTTTTTTCCTTTCCTTTTTTGGTGAAAAGTTGTGATCGTGAATTGCATCAATCCCATTAATATAGGAATTTCGGGGCGGGTCAAAAGTGCACCCTTTTGAATTCATTCACCATATTCACCCAAATCTCAAAACCGGCCTTAGATGCGGGTACATTCCTAGGGGTATAAGTGGTCCGATTTTACAGATTTTCAAACCAAACCGTTTAAACTGGTTTCAGAAAAATTCAAACCTAAACCAAACCATTTTAAATGGTTTAAAAAAATTCAAACCTAAACCTAACGATTTGGTCCAGTTTTAAACCTCCGGTTTTGCCGTATATTTTTTTGCCTGTCTACTTTTATGCCATTAATTCATTTAATTCAATATATATTTATATTTTACTAGCAATAAATCTAAAATAAATTAAGCCCATGTTTGAGCCACATTATATTCCTAAGAATGCATTTTTAAATAGTGTATTAATGAAAAATATATGGTTAAAAATAAAGAAAAGTTTTGGATTTGCATGTAATATTATTTTATTGAAAAATGTGTAGTTAAAATGATGTTAAATCACTGTTTAAAAATATATTTTTTGAAAAAATGTAGCTCAAACATAGCCTAAATATATTTACTATAAATTTAAATATCAATTAAATCAAAGTGAAATCACAATAAACTAAAACATCGTTTTTTGCTCGTCATTTTTAGGCTAATGACGTTACGATAATGTTACAATAAAATGCTACTAAGCTAAATATAAGGCCAAAAACATTAATGATGTCCAACAAGTCATGATCATCGTATCTACAAGAAAAAAGTTATTAATTAGACAGAGAGAATAATCAACCACAATAATAAAGTAATTGTTTATAATATCTAAACATAACAATCACACAAACTTACGATTGTATGTTGTTACAAACTCAGTTTCTTGCATATACTCAAACATCAATTGTTGTCACACATGATTTAAGGTCTGAATAGTCAAACAAATGCATTCATTACACCATCATAGTACTAAATACTAGATAGATAAAAGAATCTTAAAAAATATAGTAATAAAAAATATAAATCACCTACCACAACTTTCATTGAATCATCCAATGCCTCCACTTCATCTAAATATTGGCGCAACACTATAGGTTCCTTCTTAGTTTGCGACCAATTCTTTCCGCACATACAAGCCTCAAAGTTTACTTTATGCTTACCAAAAAAATTTATCACTAGAAATGATCAAAGTTTACCAAAATTATTGATCTGAAAATATACTTCTCCTTTGTTTGCAAATTCAACAAAAAATCACATAGTTACACATGACAATTCTTCAACTACAATGGAACGTTTTTTCAATGTACAAAACTTTACATAAAAAATAAAACTAAAATTCCGATTAAACCTAAAAATAGGGAAACCCATTAAAGGCTGAAGATAAATATACATTTTTCATGGACGAATGCTTGGACTTTTCATTAGATTCAGTGATTCACTTGGTGAAAAAGAGAGAGGCATCGTTTTGGCAACTGGGAAGCGCAGAAGGGACTAGAAGTAGAATTGAAAGAAACCCATATTCTATTTCGTGTTATTCAAGGGGTGTAAGTAATATAGTCAAAATCCAAGTCCTTCCTCTTTTCAATTTTGGAGTTCATATGACTTTTGAGGCCCTGGCCCAAGACAAAAATTAAAACTAGACAAAAAAAATAATAATAATAACTAATTAGGATTCTTAGTTAATAATAATATATATGTAATAGAAAATTAAACATTGACAAAAATATTTACAAATGACAAAAGCCACAATTAAAATTCTCAAATCTAAACCAAACCATTTTTTACCGTTTTGGTTTGGTTCAAAATCATTTTGTTGACACGTCCACCTGGAACCAAATCGACGCTTTCTAAAATGCGACTTCGGTTCAATTTTCCGATTTGACAGATTTTGCTTACAGTCCTATACATTCCCCCTCCACTCAATCGACTCCTTGTCCAAAATCAAATACTTCTTTTATAATCAAAAAATTTTAAATTTCAATAATAGTTATATTGCACATTAAAATATTGTGAAAGGTTATGACAAGTTTAACATGTTAAGTTTTGTGAACAAACAGCTGCCTATAATAATAATAATAATAATAATAATAATAATAATAATAATAATAATAATAATAATTAAAAAAAAAGAAGAAGAAGAAGCAAAGTACTAAATTATAATTTTCAGCAAAAAAATAAAACTTTAAATTAGAAAAAAAAATTCTAACTTGAAAAATTCTACTTAACTTTTTATAAAGTCTTCCCATACTTGTCTTGGGATCCTCGTTGATTGCACTGCTTCCATATATAAGCTTTGGATAGTTCCCTGTGATGCTTGGACTTGGCATTTTTGCCAGCATACTCTGTATTGATACGACACGACATGAGTATGTGTATGAAATATGGGGTTGATCCTTCAATTTTCAAGTAGGTACGGCATTTGTAATTATTATGTAATTTTAACTTTTATTTAAATTTTGTGCTTTTGGCATGTAAATTTATGCTTTTTTGTTATTTTAGACTTCTAGTATAAATTGTTAGTTGGTTTTAAGTGACATGTTCTATTTTTTTAACGATTTACCACTTAAAATTAAAATAAAATATTTAATACTTAGATATGTACCCGTATCCGAGTCCAAGCGTCATAGATAGTTCTTATCTTTGCATTTTTTTATCCTCTTTTTAAGGATGTAACAAGAAGAAATTTTCATAATATTTTTCGAAGACAGAACTTTAAGAGTGTGTGAGCACAAAATCCCTACAAACTCAAACTTTTTACAACTGCATATCATTGTCTCATTAGTCATGATAAGCATTGCCTAACTCAATTTTGAATAGTCTTAAAACTTTTGGAGTATCTATAGTTGCTGCATATAAAATTGCAATATCAAGTGACAATGATATGTTACTTTGAGTTGCTTTGAAATCAGCCTTTAGCTCTTCATATCGTCGATGCTTATTCAACCTTTGAAAATGATGAAAAAAACCTTTGATAAATCATGTTTGTGACTGACATAACCTTTTATAGAGGTATTCATACTTTCTCTATGTCAAGTTGTGGTCATGTCCTCACAAATCTATCCCTACAATAGATTAATGCCCCTTTTTGCTTGAAACTGAACTTTCTCTTCAATTAGTCATTATCAT